AACAAAAATACTTCACTGTCATCATTATCTTTCATACTGTAAACAGGCGATTTTTGCAAGTTGTATACCTGAGATTATAGACTTGATTGGAACAAGAGCCAAATATGGGGGCACATTAAAAAATGAAAAAGGGCGAAGGTGAGACAAACCAAATTTTCTTACAATCAATTAAAAACAATTAATCAACAAACTGATTAAACCAAAAATTATATAAAAAAAACTACTACAACAACAACAACTACAATAAGACTACTACCACAAAAATAAAATACCAATCATAAATTTAAGCCAACAAACAACTTAAAGTCACCCTCAAATTAAAAACTAACCAACAACGAGTATTTATGTTTCCAAAAGTAAACACCAAATCAAAATGAAATTTCTGCCGACAAGCAGTCGAATAAACACTGAAATGATATCAATTGAAAAAATTTACTTTTAGTTTGCGCTTCATTCATGCCAAACGTTTTGCGAGTGTGGAAAAGTAGCTGAAATTTGATTTTGATTCTACAAAAACCAAAAACAAAACAAAATCCCAATAGATACACATCAGCCTAACACGAATCATCCACACAAACGCCAAGTCCAAACCCAAAGCCACCACAAACATGGCCAATCCAATCAGATCCGAACCACCCACCAACCCACCAATCACAATAATCATCATCAGCAACCCAAGCGAACACACAATATATTACTCATACGCCCGGTGGGAACGCTTGGCAGGCTCGGGACGCCACGTGAACAACAGTGACAACACAGCACATTTGTACATTCGAACTATCCAGGACATCAATCAAAATCAGCCAATCAATCAATCAATCACCCAGCCCAAATTCAAAACATTTAATCGATCAAACACTCACCGCCACAACAACAACATCAACAACAACAAAAAGAACAAGAACCAAACAGCCACAGGAATATATACACCACCCACACAACAATTGAAAAAAGCAAAAATCAACAAGAAAATTTTAACTAAACTACTCATATTGCTTATATGAAAAAAGAACAACAAGTATATGTTTTAGTTCTCGAACAACTCATTTTGTGTTGGTTGTATTTCAGTTGATTTCCTTTTCGTTTCCGACCTCTAGACGTGTCTACGTAGTTCAGTACGTAATATGTACCCAAAAACCAACGAACGTAACTTAGGACGTCACCCCCATTTGGAAATGGGGCGCTGTGCCGGGTTACGTGTTATATAGTTTCATTACGTTTACACTTACGTTTCGCCCATCGATTTGCGTTTTGATTTGCCAGTTTTGATTTTTGTGTTCTTTGAATTGGCATTTTGCAGATATCGTATTTGAGAATCGTACCACATACAATCAATTGTTTCGTACTTAAAATACTGTTCTGAGTGTATCTACTATATCATGTGCGTACTCTTAACTACCAAATGCTATCTTGTTGTGAGTTTCCATACTACATCCTGAATTTGAACGCCAAATTATCAACTTACTCTTCTGCTACTTTCTACTCTCTATATCGTACTCGTACATCCTGATCTTGAACCTAAATTCTTTAGCTCCTATCTTTTCGTTTGATTTGCACGTTCTTCTTGAGTTCGGAAAACGCGGCTTAATCGTGTTCAATTTTTGGGTAAATTACGTTTTGCTTTTCCTTAGTTCGCATTCACCTAGAAACGAATTGGATACATACGTGTAATTTGCAGGTCGACCAAGCGAGTGTGAAGTCAGAGCTGATGATTGGCATTAATCGAAATTCAATATGCGTATACTCTTAAGTTTGTCTCTTTTCTGTATGCCACATCATCCTAGCCTCGTTTTGCATTTGTATTAGCCCTTGAAGTGAATCAGTGATTGGTGTTTATTATTGTGTTACATTATCGTAATTGTCTATATAGTCCTTGCTATCGAAGTCGTAAAACTCGTATATATATATCTATATACATAAATAAATATACATGCGTATATGTATATCCATTTAAACGATTTAACATTGAACGATAATAATGCATACTAAATACAATAATAATAATAATAATACTATTGATTCGATTGTATACGTAAATGTTAGAATCCATATAAATCAAAATGTACACACACACATGCATAGAGTCGAACTCTCTATAGACTTTTTCTCCCCAAGTACAGACAGCAATTTGTAAATACCAAGCAATTTCCACGGAAGACTTCAATTTGCTCAATATTTTTGGCTAGAAATGTACAATATTAGAAAACACACAGCTTCAAAACTGGCTTTGACATCTTGACAAAAATCAACAGGCAGCTGTCATCTGAGAAACGGAATCATCTATATGTGTGTGTAAAGCGAATCAATTTAACCTATCAATCAATAAAACCCATATATCTTTCCCACATTTTTACTCTTAATCTCTGTCTCTCTATATATATCTTTCTCTCTTCAAATCTTCACTCAGTTATCCGTTGTAGTTCTTGGACAACCTTTATATACCCTATGCTATATACGAAAATACTATAAACATTTACACACATCTACTCTTTCCCGTTATGATTTCGATATTTTCCTCTTCTTTGCGAATTTCTGTTTCAACGAACATTCGAATACAACCGGTATGATCAACCAATAAAGAGATAACTAACCATAACCTACAGCACACACACAGACCAAAACCATAGAGTGTACAATTCGAATCGAATCGGATGAAACTGTAACTCCACTCCACCCACTTGTCGTAAACTCAGTGTTGTGTATGGATGCGCTCGGCGATTTCATTTGATTTCCTTTGCCCACCTTGTTCGGATCAGGATTAAAATCAAAAGTCGGGATTACGATCAAGATCAAAGTCAGGATCAGGTAGGAGGTCCAGGCTGAGGAGAACTGCATCGTTGTATGAATTGTTATGATACCCTGTCGTCTAGCTAAGGGACCTCCGATCAGGACAGTAATTATTGCTCGCCTAAGAGTTCTGAGTGCACCATCCGTAACTGAACCCGATTCCACCATCGTATCCGTATCCGTATCCGAGCCCTTCCAAATCTCTGCATACACACATCTCCTGTCTCTCTGTAACAACTCTGTCTCTCTTTCAAGATCTCTCCTATCCACAGTTTTTGATTTCCTCGAAACCCACTCACATTCATTGCACATTTCTCAGCGATAGATTTGGCGCATTGAAACTGATTTATGTTTTCTCATCTTGAGCAGCAATTCTATATGAAAAACCAAAAGAAAAACAATGAAAATGCGTGGCCAGGCATCAAATGTTAAACCTTCTCACTCTATATTTATATCATTTCCAGAAAAAAAAACCAAAATATCAATTTAATTCCAAATGTCACCATTCGTTTCTTAAGCTGCAGCAATGAAAAGAAAACAGCAACACAAGAACTAATCGAATGTAGAGCATTTATTTCGTTTGTTTGTTCGTTAAATGCAAATTGAAGTTCTTCTTTCTTTTTAGCGACCTAGTCGAGCACAATTTTTATTGCCACCGTAGAGGTAAAACGAGTTGCCACTTGTATAGCCTTGCATCCGGATTTGATCTACAAGAAACATTTAACAGATCACAATCATGACATCAAACATTAAGTTGTTCTACGAGACGAGACGCTTTTTAAAGCTTTTTTTGTACTGCTGGATACTCCACAGACTTTATGTGAAATAATTCTACGGACAAAGGACTCACTTTGTTGATTTTAACATAGTTTTTCGCTGAAAGGCTTTTGGTCCTTCTGGCTTATTGATTTTATACTTTGACTGTCTTCTTGACTTTGTAGCTAGACACTTAGGTGTATAGTAATCGCGGACTATGTGGTATAGTTCGATGATCCTCAACGCACACCCACAATCTCACAACCTCACAAACATCCAACACTCGAAAAAAATACAACGTAGAAGTATGCATGTGTAGTGGCACTGACACTCACTTTTTATTAGGTATGGGAAGAATGCCTGCCCGGTTTGCCTGACTGCCTGATTGCATGACTGTGACTACAGTAAATACCCAAAAAAAATAATCTATTGTATACCTAGCACCTGTAGAAGTAATTACTTGGAATGAGAGTAGTGTATTATACAATGTGTATATAGAAAACAAATGCGTTGGCCAGTTGCTGACTACTTTTGATGCTTTACTTGATGCATGTAAGTTGATTACTACCAAAATGGTGTGCGTAGCTAAGCCTTTACCTAGAACAATATTGATTTCCGATAATCGTTTATATATACTTATCATTTCGATTGGCGAACTGCAGTCGCAGAGGGCCGAAAATGCGGCGACAATATCCTCATTTTGTGACTTTTAATTTATTGCCATTGACTTAAGATTGATTTGTGTACAAGCCCCTGGGGTAGCAGACTAAATTCATGCATTTTGCATTTATCATTTGATTTTCAGTTCCTATTATGAGTTCGTGTATTTGTATAATTTTGATAAATGTTTGTTTTCTAAGAAAAAATGCAAAGTAATATACTTTACCACCAAATAATACTGACAAGCCATAAAGATAACCATAACAAGGCAACGACAAGCAGTTGATAAATAATACAAACAGATCAAAGCATAAATCAATATAAAGAAATATACAGAAATACAAGACAATAAATATACTCGAATCTATAACCTCACCCAATGACATGCACTCATTTAAACACATTCAAAGCACTCAGACTCACACTCACACACGAAGACACTGACAGCATATGTACTATATATTATAGACTTGGCTTCATGGCAGATCAAAGGAATGTGATTAAATCTGAGATCAATAATTCGGCTAAAGAAGTGAATTTAATTTAATCACTTGACTTGAACTAAATTCAGTATTCTTTTTTCCGCTTTAATCGCACACTAATACTGAAACACGGCAACACACGCACACACACACACCTCATTTAATACATTTACATACGTCACACATGTACAGAGCTTCAGTGCATTCCACACCTAGAGTTAAGTCAAATTGTTGCATTAATCGTTTTAATCAATGCCACTTCAAGGAACTAATCTATTTTTCTTCTACCCCGACCCCCTCAACCCACACAAGACATATTGTGGTGTGCGGTCATATAACGTACGAGTCCGTGTCGCATTTCCTGAAGGACTTTCTCCACGAAGATCGGGAGGACGTCGATGTCGAAGTGGTCTTTCTCCATCGGTAAGTCCATCCAGAATCCGACTAGCGCCTAAGCAGAAGAATAACCTGTTTACAACCGTATTGCTAATTTGTTGTGTCGTTGTTTATTTGACTTATGATTTGATAAATGTATTTTTAATTGAGTTTCTAATGAAAAGTCAACGGCAAGAGAAATAATTAGCGCAGTACTTAAGCAGTTAACAAGAAAATGGCTTAGAGGTCAGCGGCAGCGCAGAAAAGTAGGCAAAGGTATTGCTCTGAATTAATATAGTTTAAGATTTGTAATTTCAAACCATTTGCCCACTTAAATGAATTTGTTTTTATTTAGTATTTTATAATGTGCCGCTGCTGGCCGCTAACTCGATAGTTGGGAGTCCCGTTCCCAGTCAGTTAAGTTAGTTCAAGCACTACTTTAAGTATTTGCATTAATCTAGCGACTAGCAAACACACAGTCAGTGGAATTCGTTTATGTTTTCATTTCGAAATACCTCTTTCGTTCACTTTGTAACTATTAATGCCTAAACTCAACTATATATATGCCATATCATGTAATGTAATATAAACCAAATAGCAAAGAGCCTGACCTGGAGCTAGAGGGACTGCTGAAGCGTCACTATACCACAGTGGCCTTTTTTCAGGGCACTATGATGAACGCAGTCGACCTGGAGCGAGTCAAGGTACACAAACACACACCAAGACACGGCCACGCCCACACCCACACCCACAGTCACAGACACACACGAACACCTACAGACACAGAGACACACACATGGAAACCAGTGAAGACACGCAGAAATAACGATAAACGATTTACTCGAGCCCCGATTGTCAGGTGTCCCAGCCAAATAAAAATGTTTACAAAAAATCAAGAACATAGAAAACAACAGCGAATCTTACATGCAACTCATACTTTTACCCTGTGAATGTTTTTGTGCCCGTGGCCAGAAAACACGCCCACAATTTAGTTCTTCAACAGCTAGGATGCAACTTCACTCTGTTTGCCGACCGATTCGAAAGAAAATTCGAAATACCTTTCGCTGATGACCTTTCCCAGCAATCAAAAACAAGACACGTCCCCCTCCCTCGTTCTCTTTAAATATGCCATAAATCTATGCTCGCTCTCACTTTGAACTTGAACAATTCAATTATGTTTATTTTTATTGCAATTTTATAGCTTTATTATGGCATTATTATTAATGGTTTCCGGTTGCTGCTGATGAGGCTTTCGAGAAGAGCATTTTCTTTGGAATTCCTCTCGAGCTTCGTGATAAATGATGTTAATAATAATTCTAGATAGATTTTAGTTAAGAATCCCGTTCACATTATCCTTGGTTCTTTCGTTTATCCTAGCTTAAAGTATTTTTACCCCGCTTAATGGAATGACTTTCTTAGCTGAATTTTTTCATATTTCCTTTTTATCCAAAATCGAGCTGAAGCTTACAAATTTATTCACCTTTTATTATATTTTATATTTCAAAAATCGTAGAAATTCAAATAACCCTCTTGTAATATATCCGTAAAGTTTTTATACTCCCATAGAATTTATTTAGTCTTGAGAGCTTAGTTAAGTAATGTTAATTAGATATTTAAGAAGAGTTTTTGTCTAGAGCATAGACCTAATTCTAAGTAAGGAGAATACAAAGTTTCTATTTTAGTTGAGATTAGTTTTAATGAATCACGATTTTTGTTGCACCTTCGGCTTGGAGATTTTCTTTCAACAATTGTCTGCATCGTTTCTTTTTTCTTCTTTTTCATTTGCATATTTGCGGACTCCGAAAATCGCACCACAATCATATTTATCTGTATATTGTTTGTTGTGTTTCGAACACCAACCCACACACATGCAACGATATTCTTCTGTTTCTCTGAATACAATCCAATCTACGTAAACTCTGTGTACATTGGAATCATTGAAAACTCTAAAAACTTTGTATTATTTTCCCACAACCACCACGATAAATCAAAATGAAAAAAAAAAAAACAATTCAAACGATAAAATTTATAAAGTAAACCACCCGATTTGGAACTTGAGGGTTTGTTCAAACGTCATTTTACCACCGTGGAGTTCTTCCAAGGAACCATTATGAATCCGATCGATCTGCAGAGGGTTAAGGTAAAACAAAAATGTATTTTCATTTTATCCGTTCTATATGTTTGTTTGTTCGTTTGTTTTCGTTCCGTTCATTTACCCTATTCCTTTCCGTGTCTATTTTCGTCTCGACCTATGTGAGCTTTGGTTTCATTATGTATTAACCGAATCCCAGAATAAGCGTACTTCTACTTCTTACGTACTTATTTATGTAACGAACGCTCAAATGTAATTAAAACCCGCCTTTTGATATACAAGTGTATGTATGTATTTACGTGTGCGTGTATGTGTAATGTCTGTCTACATGTACAAGCGATATATGCGATCATAATGCATTTTCTGGACTTAGTTTAGTGTACACAACGCCATTACATTCATCGGTACATGTATCCTTTGGATCCCAGCACTCGACTAACCATTCGAACATGAATTAAACTAAACAAACTGTGAATCGCAAGCAAAAGACACGAAACACACACTCGCAGTACACAGAAACACCGTAAATTGATGTTGAAAATGTTGTGTAAAACCAAAACTAATTAATTTTAATTTATTTTTATTTTAAGCGCATTACTAACAACGATTAACCTATATGTAATTTCTTATTTATGTATGTGCTAAGTATGTTTATGTAATTGTTAAGTTAATTGTTAACTGTATAATATGGTTTATCAAGGAAAAGCATCCTAAACTGGCTATAAGGGGGCTAATATTTTTTTTTAATTTAAAGTCTAGACTGAGGATAAGATTTATGGAATAGGTAAAAACTATTTATTTAGAAGCTAAGCTTGATTCTATTTTTAGGGTTTTTTTATCCAGAATTTTGTCTAGTTAAATTAAACAAATATTTGCTTAATAAATCGAAAGGGTCGCATGAAAATTTAAGTTATCTGCTTTAATTTTCGGTATTTATGTAAATATTCTAACAAGAAAAAAATCTATTCTGAGTTATAATCCTAAATTGGTTATTCTAAAAGATTTATGCGACTCTCCGAAAGGCAATTAAATTGGTAGGGAAAATTAGATTCAATTCAGAATTAATGTGTAGACCTTACAATATAATAACCTATATATTTTGTAGGGGAGAGTGGGGGAATTTCGTCAGCATTTTTTCAAAGCTACTTTTTGTCCATCTTGAGACACGTTATCATATTTCTATTTTTATTGTTGAATGCGGTTAGCACCAAGCTTTAAAATGTGACATTCCCCTATTTTTTTAATTAGCTTGGTGATTTATAAAAAAATAAAATGTAAAACCAATATACTGGGGCAATCTCACCACACAGGGGGGTAAAATCACCACACAACTGGGGAAATTTCGTCACCTGAAAAATGTAGGGAGTTTAACGCCTGAAAATATGCTACACTGATCAAGCGTACCATTTTTGTTGACGTCCTATATTTGTTGCTGCTGCTGGTAGTCTGTTCGTTAGCCAGCTCGTCAAATATAAAAATATGTATTTAAAATAGGTGCGAATTTACCCTTAGCGTAGGGTGGCGAAATTTCCCCAGACCGTACTTTTTTAGAAATAATTATTTGTCTTGCGAAGTTAAAAATCACTGACGCAGAAATGCACATTATAGCACTGTGTATTATATAAAAAATCGTGTATCTTATTCCTTTTGAATTGTGGCATACAGAAAAAATTTCGTCGAGAACTAAATGCAGCTTTTGAACTGTTAAAATACATTTAATATTATAGCTTAATTATCTTGGCCTTCTGTGCAAAACAAATGCATTGGTTGTGTCTGGCCGTCTTGAAGGACTAAAACAAAAAAATTATATATTTTTACGACTTATGGATTCCGAGATATTGCAGGTGACGAAATTGCCCCTGTGACGAAATTCCCCCACTCTCCCCTATATATATCAGCTTAATCGATATCTCTTGAATGGACCGCCTTGAGCAGCCTTCGCTTGGCCTTGTAAAGTGCAATGTTGCGATAAATAGATTGCATCTAAGCTTATCTTTTGCATGCGAGCAGACTGCATGTCTTTAATCGGATACAGATGCTTGTACATAGCTAGTGCTAATCTATTGTCTAATGCCCACTTGAGTTGCTCTTAAGTTGTATGGGCTTTGGTATTTGATTAAGTTGTTCCCGAACACCGATCACCCCGATTTTCCTGTGTACTTGTTCTTTGTAATAAATCCAAATCCAACCCACCCCACCAGTCGCCATGCACCGAGCGTTCGCCTTATGATTTCTTGATGTGTCCTTAGTTTGGAGTTGAAACCGAAAGACTGTGTCCAGCAACCCACCCACCCAGCCACTGTACAACCGCTTACTATCTCCCCAACAGCCCCTCGTGGGCACTGCTAATGAATACTACTCGTACCTTAAAGAACCCTACTACGTACGCAATGTATATGCAAGATATTAAAATATATGGCCTTGATCGCAGTCAGATCTAGCCAAAAAAAAAAAAAAAAACAAAACAAAAAAGAACACTCACCTGTGGCATTTTAAGTACTCATACTCGTACCATAGTTGTCCAGTCGATGTGCGTGTAAACCAAACCGCTTACTAATTGTTTATATTGTGGACAATGCTCTAAACGTGACACCTCTGCAATATATATTCACAATTACAGTAACAATAACAATCACTGAACCATAACAAACTACTTTGAACAGTTCAACATAACAAAACTAACTCACATGAGACAAACATCAAATGCCCATAGACATAGTCTGACCATAACAAGCTAACCGGCTAACTACCACAATCCAGTGCTAATCGGCAACTCTCAATCTCGATCTTCCGTATCCTTTGAATCCTGGAAACCACAGGTACATGAAGCCGACGCCTGCCTCGTGCTAGCTAACAAATATTGCCAAGATCCCGACGCAGAAGATGCTGCCAACATCATGAGAGTCATCTCGATCAAAAACTACAGCGACGACATTCGAGTCATCATCCAGCTGATGCAGTACCACAACAAGGTGAGTGGACCAACCATCCATACAATTTTTATATTTAATTAAGTAAACAAAACTATTTTTCTCGATGAATATCTTTTTTGAAATGAAAAATTTTCAATAAAACTACCAGATAAAAGTAGGACTTTATAGTTTTCCAAGGTGTCCAAAAGTATGCAACAATATATTGTAATTTATGATGAATTCATTATTCGCTATTCTCATATTATCTGCATACTTTTGGACACCTCTTGAAGTAATCCTAGTAATTTCAGATAAAATATATTTAGTTCTTTAGCCACCCTTCGAAGAAATAGTATTAAAAATTATTTCCTAAGAATATACGAATTTTATCAATAATTTTATATTTTTGTTAGGAACCTTTATTATTTAAAATTATTCATACTAATCACATTTCAATACCCAGGCGTACTTGTTGAACATACCATCGTGGGACTGGAAACAGGGCGACGATGTCATTTGCCTGGCCGAACTGAAGCTGGGCTTCATTGCCCAGAGTTGCTTGGCGCCCGGGTTCTCGACCATGATGGCTAATCTGTTCGCCATGAGATCGTTCAAGACGGTAAGTGGGGATGTCCCAGTCCCAGAGATCAGGCCACTCACCTACGAAATACCAGACACACTCACACTACTGGCGCCCAGTGAAAGCAGGCCGGAAGTTAGATATTTTCCAGATTTACAGATTACAGATCCGCAGACAAGCAATATCCGCCCAGGGGGCCAAGCAATATGATATGTGGGGTGTACCCACTATACCTACCGTATTTATCAATCCAAATGTCTCTAAATTACGTCTCTAACCCATAGTCGCCAGACATGCAGTCTTGGACAAATGATTACCTGCGCGGCACTGGCATGGAAATGTACACTGAAACATTGAGTCCCACATTTATTGGAATACCATTTGCTCAGGCCACTGAGTAAGTCACGCAGCTGGCAGTTTTCCAATTTTCCAAACCATAAGCTATATCGTAATACTCGTACCAGAAAAAATACTTAAAATACTATATCGTATCTACTACTACCTACTCTATTCTACTTGTTAATCGTGCAGCGTTGAACGAAAAAAAAAACAAAATATCGTACACCATGAACAACATAAGATATGTTCGGCCTACAAGCTGAAGGTCAACAGTGATTTGAGAATAAATGTTTGCAATGGTAGAAAATCACTGTTGGGTTTCCTGTAGGCCGGAAAAACACCTCACAACTCTCACATACACCACAAGTAAACACATTGTTATTTGTTTTCACTCAGTTCTGATCGTCGTTGTAAATCTCTTTCTTTCGTTGGTTGTTTTCATTTATTTTGATCGAAGATCCGGCACGTTTACACCGATCTAAGTGTTGCAACGTGTAAATGTGCCTGCCAGTGAACTTAGCTTATGATTTTTCAAACAAGAAACACACATACACAAACTCTAAACATTACACTGTGAAAATTAGTCGTTGTTTCAAGCAAATTCTTTGTGTAATTGAGTGTTCTAAGTGTTCAAAATGCCTTCAGTGTTTGCAAATACAAAATATTGTTTCTTATCCTTCATTTTCAAAAGCAAACTTCAAAACTGCCCGGCCAGTTCAACCGACTCTTTATTTAAGGACAAACAAACACCACACACACAAACAGACACACACACCCAATCGCTAATGTATGGTATCTGTGTGAGCGGATCGCTCCGAATCTCTCTCTCTCTCTGTCTCTCTCTAAAACTATCTATCTATCTACTATCTATCTGTATCTCAGTAACAGTTCTAAGTTTGCAGCGTGCATTTTAGTTTGAGTTGGTTCTTTTCCGTTCCTGATGTTTTCAGTTCGACCTTTTGATTTCTGCTCATTTGACACACGTTCGGTTCGGTTGAGTCTTGATGCCACCCCAATGCTCGTGCCTTCTTCAATGCTGTAAAGTTCGCCAGTTCGCCAGAAAGTGTACAGACCGAATGCCAAAAAAAAAAGCAAATCCCGAGATCGAAGCAGTATTTCTATGCCAAGCCAAAGCCAAAAGCCAAAGCCAGAGTATGCAATGCCTGACCCAGAAACAAGCACCATCCAAAAACAGCAAGATACACACTCTTAGCACCGATACTCGCCAGCTGTTGAAATGTGTGCCGTAGACCCAGATGACCCAGAACCAGAAACCAGAGTCCCAGCTATGAGATGTGTACGCGTAGGACCTGTCCCCCAAAAATCTCTGCTAGTCTACTCCACCTGCCACAGCCACACAAAACCAAAAAGCCAAAAACCAAATACCAAATACCAAAAACCAAACAGACAAACAAACAATTTAGAACCAAAAACCGATAATGCGCCACGTAGTTACTTTAGCGAACTTACTAAATGCAAACCACAACAAAACCATTTTCTAACTTTCAGTCACCAGACACACAGGCCTGGCAAAATGATTATCTTCAAGGTACAGGGTGTGAGATGTACACCGAAACCCTATCACCTTCATTTACCGGCATGACATTCCCACAAGCCAGCGAGTAAGACTCAAAAATGAGAAATTAGCGAAAAAATAAAACCAAATTATATGCAAACTGTATAAAAAATACTACTACTTCTACTACTACTACTACTACTACTACAACTTTTTGCATTGTACAAAATAAGTTTGTTTACCAATTCTTTTTCCTATTATTTACCAACTTGATTCGATTCCGTTTGATTTACTCTCCTTCCTCATAATAACAATCAACAACTAAACAACTGTTTGTCGCCTCTCCCCACTCTCCCCACCTCTGGCCATCTACTCGTATATCTCGATAAAACTCAACTCTCAAAACCCATACTTTAGAACCATAGATCCACTGAAAGATCCAAACTAGCCACTAGCCACCAGTATCCAGAACCCAGAACCAGAACCCGAGAACTAACCTTTCGAGGGCGAACGCATTGAACAACCTGTATATTAAACCCACACTCATTTCGATTGGCTCAAACTGCATCAGAAACCGTATATCGTATACCGTATTATACCGTTTAGTATCCGTAATCGCAACCGCAATCGTAATCCGCATCCGATCGCCACAATCGCTTGCTAACTCCGAACTCCGCTCGCTGCGATTCGTAGAGCGTCAACCACGTATAGTACACTGCAAATAACTTTAGAGACCACCCACCACAGAACAGCTCCACTTGTGACTCCACCCCCGACCCCGAACTCATTGCATGTGCAGAATGTTTTTAGAGTGTACCCTAGTTGGCAATGGACCGCAGATGATTCACTGTCTGTAGTTTTGATTTCTTTAATGAACGTTTTGTTTAAAACCGAATATTTTTTCTAGTTTACCTAAGCATTTTGCCTAGCATGCCTATTTTTGACTCGTCAAGCGTCTTGATTGTCTTTTTTTTGTTCAGTGTACGCTTTCAGAGCACTCACCACTACAACGACACATACACACACTCAAACACCCACACACACTCACACAAAGAGCATGCCCTGTTTTTGAGAGAGTTCGACTACACCTTTGTAGCATACTAAAACTAGGTTCAATTACTTGTAAAGCAAATCTAGGCTAAGTTGAAGTGAGATCGGGCGCCCAGGGACTGATTAGCTCCCCTCTTCCCCGCGTTTAGGCTGTGCTTCTCCAAGCTGAAGCTCCTGCTGCTGGCCATCGAGATCAAGGGCGCCGAGGAGGGGGCAGACAGCAAGATTTCCATAAACCCGCGGGGGGCCAAGATACAGGCCAACACCCAGGGTTTCTTCATAGCACAAAGCGCCGACGAGGTGAAGCGGTAAGATGTGACAACCTATAGATGACCTATAGACCATAAATAAACTACAATTTCTAAACCCCCCTTTACAGTGCCTGGTTCTATTGCAAAGCCTGCCATGAGGACATCAAGGACGAGACGCTGATCAAGAAATGCAAATGCAAAAACTGTAAGCAAACCTTTGTACCAATTAATACCCAAACTGCAACTCTTAGAGTATCTTTATGTATCTATCGATTTAATTTAACTTATCCGTTTTGATTTCAATATGTATTTGATTTGTTGTTTCGTTTGTGAATCGAACGTTTCGAAGACAGCCAGAGTTTCGAGTCGAGTAAGCCAAACAAACAGAAACGATAGGGAATAACCGATAACTCGATTTTAGTTTGTAAGAAGGACCTAGCGAATGTTGAGGCAGATTCTAAGTATAAGGCGCAATCTTTCTAACCTTTATGAATATCTAAATATTTTACCACTCTACCATGAAACTTTTCGTATATTTTTACATATTTTTATACATAAATATCCATGTTTTTATTATATATTTATTATGTATGTGTGTTGGCGCGTGTGGCCTCGCTCTCAATGAATTCAATACCAAAAACTGCAACAACCAACCACAACAACTAACTATAACTATAACTATGCATAACCGAACCGATCAATCAATCAATCAACAATACCCATTGTCATGGCTGCAACTGTTCGAACAACCCTCGCACCGTTGCAACGTGACATAACCAAATACAACCAATTAAACCGAAATCGAATCGAATTTAATACCAAATAATACAATCCAATGCCATAACTTTGTCCCACAGTGACTGTTCAGCCCAGGAGCAAATTCGATGACTTAGGTAAATCAAGCTACAAACCGAATAACCCAAAGAACAAAAAGAAAACACACTCAAATCTCCCACAAAAACCAGAACACTTAACTTAACCACACAAACACTTCTCAGTTTTGAAGTTTTATCCAATTCCAATACCAATACCAATACCGATTCCAGTTACAATTCCAACTTTTGTATAAAGTACATTTTGCATATTCCCGTTACCTTTTGTTTGTACATTGAATACAGCAAAGCGAAGGTCCTTAAATTCCCAGACCCCCGGACCCCAAACCGATTTTCCCGTCAGCACCTTTCACCTTAACCAAGAGCACATCAAAATCAAGAATTTTCCTTTGATTTTGATTGTTTGTCTTTAGTTTTTGAAACGATTTTGCAAGGCAAAACATTGGACCGTCTCCATGTGCTCAGCCCCCGATCATAAAACCGTTTCCGATATCATAACCAACCACCAGCATATACTTTTATATATATGAACAACGAACCATTCCGTCCTGCCCGTTTATCTTGCCCATGTGCAGTTCTATTTTGGTCACTGTTTGTTTTGACATGCGCCTCTTTGTAACCCACGAAGTAACTGTTAAATACACCCACACCTATAACGATTAACTATATATTCCCCATACATATTCAACGAGGATAAAATAGCCAAAAAAACACAAAACATAACGTATCATCGACCTTGTAAATATGTTTGTGCGATATGCAACCCCAGTTCTTTGATTACCTACTATACTACAGCCACAACAGTCAACCAGCAAGAAATGTTAACCAAACTCTTCGCTTTTCCTTTAACCATCACGAAAAAAGCCATTAGAGTACCACCATGTTAGTTGACACCTACGATTTTCCGTTTACAAGTGATTTTTGTGTTTTACGGGGCGTATGAGTAATATGCCAGCCCGAATAAGTGAAATACAAAGGATGAACTGCGATATTCCAAAAGAAATTTTACCAATTCATATGCAAACAGCAGGCGCCACTCAAAATATTACAATTTTGTTTACTTATTTCTCAATTTTTAAAATTAAAGCCATCTTTGCAATCTACAGCTTTGTATTTCATTAAAACGGCATGACTACCTCTTTACCATCTATATTTCTTTATAAACCACACTCCATTGATAGCCCTCTTTTTTGATGATAAATTTTTATTCCAATCCTGAAACTGCACAATTTTTTTAAAAAGTCTGTCTCGCTAACCCTCGCTCTTGCTCTCTCTGTCTCTGTAACTCCCTCTTAATCTTTGTACTTTATACTTATGTGTTGAGAATAATACAAGATCAAAATAAGTGCATGGAAACGAGCACAACAATCTGTTTACATTTTATCACACCATCTCACCATACAAAAGAAAAAAATGTGTAATAAAAAAGAATAAACTCTTTTTTCGATCAATTTTGACTCACCTTTGCAGCATCCAGCTCTAATTTAAATACTCTTCCTAATACTTATGATTAAATTAAATTATCTTTAATACTTACCGGTAGACCTAAGTTCTTGAAATGCTGCGCCGTCCTCACGAATCCTCTTAACACTTTCCTTTGATTTGTGTTCTTGGCGTGGCACTCACCTCACTCACAGATCTCTATTTACATTTATCTATATCTAACGCGATTGTATATAACCACGAGTAGCTGCAAAGCAAAAGTGTAAATAACATTAGATCAGGCTACGGCAGAGTTTAACAAAAATCCTAACGGGAGTGTAACCGACGTTTATGTATTTGGTTTCTATGTAGCGTGTAACACCCAAACAATCTCTACCTATACTCTGTGAATCTAAATCTTAATCTGTAAACACCCAAATTAGCTGGAAATGTTCTCAAGTAGTTAGTAAGTTTGCCGTGTTTGCGTTGCCTGCGTTATGGCTTTAAAACAGCGAATCGGGATCCAATGTTGCAGCTGAAAATGTCAAGTTGAACGCAGTTTGCCGTTCGTAGTGCCGTAGAGCTTAAGTTTCTGAACCAATCCCGATCCGATCCGATCCGAACCGAACTGATCCCAGATCTCCAGGCCTGTTATACTTAACCGAAATATATGCATTTGTTTCTGTGTGTACGAGCGAGTGTCTATCTGAATACCAAAACGTATCAAAACCATCTTGCAGATGTGGGCATGATAATGATGCAGACGGGCATGGTCAACCAAGGCATCACGTCGGTGATGAATACAATGGAGGGTACGCTTTCAAATCCATTTCCACAAACGAAACCAAACCCATTATTTGCGATTTGCGGCGCTCTATCCAATATTAATATCCGTTTTTATATTACCAAGCCAAAAGATTTATTTGTTGCTGCTAATCCTAATCCTAAACCAACCAACCTAAAAAAAACACGAGCGATAACCAAAAGGATTCTAAAAAAATATTAAATATTACGTGTAACATGTCCGTTTGTCGGATTGAATTGAATTTCAACAGCTATCTAAACTAAATTTATTTCTTTAAACATTAACACTTTGGTAAACGCTCCTTAGGTTTGGCTTGCCAAATTCGTATTAAAAACAATGATTATCTTTATAAAACTAATTCGAACTTGGAAACTAAATCATTATTTCTAAATTGATGTACTGTCAGCATTTGTGTTCCTTAGTTAATGCTAAAATCCCTGAAAAGCTCTTAGCCGCTAAATGCCAAAGAATCCCCGCCAAGATCCAAGAAGCTAGGAAACTACAGATTGAGAAGAACTGGGTAAAAACTATAATAGAAATAGGGAAATAAGGTGTCATTCAACTGCAATGAAATCAGTTTAGTTCTGTTAAAGAGTTGAGTTCAGTTTGTACTTCTGCTCCCTACTATCGCTCTATCGTTCTCTCTATCGTACTCAGTATAAATATAACATTACTTACTATAGAACTAAATTAGTTTTGCTACGATTTCTGGTTTGGTTCGCCCGAAAAGCGCGTATAATGTCATAATAAACAGAAACAGCATACTTAGTATATATACTTTATATACATTGCATATATCTAATTATAATCATAAACTGCATACCACATATGAATATATCAGCATATATATTTAAACGAAAGTTCAAGTACAACGTGTGCCGTGCGATTTACTTATGATTTCCGTTATAGCGTATTTAATTTCCTATATTTTTGATTTATTCATCATTTGTTGAATGATGTTCCAATGATAAGCATACGAAGATTGCGAGAAGAGGAGAAACTAAATTATATTGAAATCAACAATCATTACCTTGCCATCATTTACCTATTCACACGAATCCTATAAAATTCTGTTTTCATGAAACAAAAACAGTGGCCACCTTCCGGAAAGGCGTCCGAGCCGTACAAATGGTTGGGCGTGCAAGTACGTATAACTTACTCTACTCTCTCACTCTCTCTCTCTGTCTCTTTCTATCTCTCTATATCCTGTCTCTGTCTCTACTACTCTACTGTAACCGATAAGCATACGAAACACACATTTCATAAACTAGAAACCAGAAACCAGAATCCACGAAACCCAACATGATTTCCAATTGGCAACCTAAAATTTACCATTACATCTGCCCGAAAAATCTCTTGCTAACCAAGTAAAACGCTCGATTACATGTTTATAGTGCCAAACTAACCTAACTAACTCTAATTGCTATTGTTCAGCTGCATATGCCATTCAGCCAACCAATCAAAAACTAAGCCAATCAATCAGGCAGCCAAACAATCGAAAATCAATCAATCTTTGACAGACACAGCCACACAAACACCAATACACAGCCCCTGGCCCCGCCCCTTGTCCAGAACCACCCGCCCCCCGTTCCAACACTAATGCACTACACACAGTAACTCGCTCACACACACACACACAAATACATGTTTCGTTTCTACTCGTTCGTTCTAGTAATTGTGTCCTTTTTCATATTCAACTTTAACCTTAGTGTGCGTGTGAGTGTGTAGTAAAGTAAAGAACCAACTAAACTAAACCGAACTTTGTTTTGAGTCAGTTAATATTGGATACTACATAATCAGTACTATTCAGTATGAGCTCCATGCTATCCATACTATCCATTTTGTTATCAAGTCGAGTCGTCGTGTCTATAACTCATACTCTACATAATAATCGTACTCGTATATCGTAAAGTATTTTGTACAAACGTTAACTACATATTGTGTATTGTATCTATCTATCGTATCGCATCGTATCATGTCGTATAGTATCGTTTATTCGTGATACAAATTCTACCTGTTCACGTATTTAGGACAACTATGTCATACCAACAAATACTTCAAGTTTCTCTTTATATGATACACCAAGTGGTAACACTGACACACTCCATAGAACACAATACACCGGGTCTTAAGGACCTGCATTCCCCAACACCACACTACACAACACTCATTCTCTGTAAAATATACAAAACCCGATCTTCTGCGTCCGGAGCTTTGTTCCTTTCTATATAATATTTCAAATTTGTAAACCTGTCATCTTTCTATTGTACTTCCCTACCCACACATTCGTGTTCCGTATCAACTACTACAACTACAATAAATACTCCTATTTATATGTCTCTGTGTGTGTGTGTAGAAGACGATGAATACTCGTTGTCAAGTAAGTCAAACTAACTCATATCGAAAAAAACAGAACAAGAATTACTATAATTAAATCGCATTTGTACTTGTCTAAAACATTTCATTATTATTTGAACTTATTAGAGTTTTCGACAAATTCCCTTCCATATTCTCGTGATTTGTACTGTATCTTAGTTTGTTTCGGTTTATAATTTTACCCAGAGAGAGAACCCCATACAATTAGACCTATCGTAAGTTATTGTTTTACCATGCATAAACCAACATGAATAAATCAAATATAAATGACTTGAGAAAGCAAAGCAACTGAGCCACTGATTAGGGCCACCATCCAATCACAACCACCCAAAATCAAAGTGAAATTAAAAGCGGCAATCAAGCAGCTCCTCCTCATCCCCCCGAGCACTGCACCAATCAGGAGAGGGGGAAGGGATCAATCAGAAAGCGATTAAATTCCAAATTCCATGCAGTTCAATTGCTAACCAACTATAATCGTTAAATTCAGCCCCCCAATCAGAAGCTGGGGTTAAACTAGATAGTGCAACTCGTAGTTGGAGAGATCGTTTGAAGTTGTTCTATAAGTGGGTGTTAGCCGTTCTAGCAGCCTAAGTATTAAGCGCTTTGACAATCGGATACCCAAATCCAGCGAGCCAAAAAAGCTGCCGATGAATACCTAGAATATTGCCAAACAATTTGCCAATCTTGCTACTCAGCTTGTAATCCGCACTTAGTCAGCGTGTTGCTTAAATAATGCTTCAAGCTTTAACCGATTTGGTTTGTATCCCTAAATATGTATACCTTGACCAATGCTTGCTTAGACTTGTTCACCGTTTTACCAATACTCGATATATCTATTCCAATATTTTGTACCCGTTTGTATAAATGTAAGATAACTATCACAAGTTCTGTTCCAACTCATATTTATTTGCATGTTTTGTTCGATATTCTATGAAGCAAATACCCTAAAATGAATCCCGAAAAACCATCCCCCGACCATCTTGAACACTTTTCGTTCAGTTTCGGCCGAGAGCCGTTTTCATTTGATTTGATTTCGTCAGGTTTTCCTGGGTTTCCCCAAGAGTCAGACTAATTTCTCTATGATTTTCTCTCAAATTTCTTGTTTATTTAAGAAACAAACCAATACTCTTACCGCTTCAGTTCTTACAAAACCAAACACAATCCCCCTTAAAAAAAAATAAAAAAAAGAATACAGAACCAAAAAAAAAAGAATTTGTTGTATATTCAAAAGCAATTTTGAGCTTCACATAAAAAGCTTGACCATAAAAATAACACAAAGAAATGCATACACACCGAATCTGATTTTCCTGAGCTGTGCGATAACGAACCACCGTATTTTACAGATGAACACCATCCTGCACCCACATTTACGCCCCCCGAGCTACCCAAGCGGGTGCATGTGCGTGGATCTGTATCGGGTAAAGTCTCGTCCTCAATCGAACACTCAATTTGGTATCAGTCAGAGATCAGATCCACAGAAAGGTCACTTTGAACGCCAGTCGTCGATAGGTGGATAGCTCAATCTCACATTACACATAACCCGATCAAGATCAGTTTCAGTTCGCCTTTGACTTTGACTTTGTCCTTCGTTTCCTTGGTTCGCTTTTTCCCTCAGTTGTAAAGGTAAAAATGTATCCAATCCAATAACTAAAACGATCAAGTACAACCCATGATAATTGTTTAGATATTCGTTTGCATAACTCTGTTTTTGCGTTGATTCTTGAACAGAACTCGTTTCTCTGCTAATGTAACTCGTTAATATAATCTATCTAAGGACTACCGCCATATATCTCTATCTCCCGTATCTCATACCTACTACTCGAACCCATATCGATGTCTATTTAACTTACTTTACTTATTTGTACACATCACCCTGTGTGCCTTCGTTTTTAATTGCATAACCGATCTGCTTGTTATCAACTTTGTTTATTACTGTCGCAAGCCACACACAAACAGCATCACAAGAAACAAATAACTAAGAACCAGTAACAAATCTAAACCAAATGCCAAATGCAACATGCAACATGCAACACGCGGCTCAAAAGTACCTTTCTCGATTAACTAATGACTAATACTTAAAGCCAATGAGTATCTCTCCACACTCTGACCAGCGTGTCCAGCCTCCAGCCAAGATTACTAATCGATTGATCTGCTCTTTATCTCTGATCTCTCTGATCTCTTGGGAAACCAACGCTTCTGTTCTGCCTGCCAAATGCGAAATGCGAAATGTGTCACAGGTGATATCACTCGTGACAGAGAAGATACGAATCGTAAGTGCTGGTGCAGTGGCTCAGATATCATTATCAACTGTCTCCTTCTTGTGCTTACAGTACTCAATCGCAATGTGCGCCGGCCGAATGGCACGGGCAACGGTACAGGTGGCATGCACCACATGAACAACACGGCAGCGGCCGCTGCAGCAGCTGCGGCGGCGGGAAAGCAGGTGAACAAGGTGAAGCCCACGGTGAATGTGAGCCGACAGGTGGAGGGCCAAGTGATATCGCCATCGCAGTACAACAGGTGAGTGAGAACCCTATATCGCGCGGGGATTGTACATATCTATATATACGAGTATATATATAACAGGGGGAGGAACAGCAGGCCATCTACTTTACTATAGCGATTTATCACATTAAACAGCACTCTGTTCAGTTATCAAATAGCAAAGCAAAGTCGGTAATCGAGCAAGAGCAACAAAAGAAATACCCAATGAATACACTTTTTAGGACAACTCTGTTTGCGCTGCATCAAGTTTGATTTTCCACTTTTCCGTTGCGTTACTACCAAACAAGCAAACAAACATGCAAAGCCGATATCCCAAAGGAAACACTCAATTATGATTATTGTGTTTACTATATGTTTTATTTCACACAACACAATGAACAGGAGAAGGATTTCTAGGTTCCTCGTACATATGTAAATGCTCTTTAACCAACTAATCCAAACACCTCAACTAACTGTCTCACTCACCTGCTCACTCAATCACTCACTCAAGAAAAACGAAAAAAACAACCAAACCAAACCAATTAATTACTTTTAACCAGTCTAAATGTATAAAAACGAACAACATCTTGTTTCAGGCCACCAGAGAATGATGCTAACCCTTATGCGGGCTATCAACTTGCTTACGAAGTTAAAAAGCTCATGTATGCGTCCATAATTTCCTAGATTTTTAACTTACGAACTCTATCAAAAAAGCCAAAAGCCTTTTTTAAACTATACCTTAGTACTCGTTAATACTTATCTAACTACATCTTATGCGCATTTTGTTTGACACACATTGATATTGATATTGATTGATCGAAAGCTATGCCATACCATCAAATACGCGTACTAAACATAATGAAATCTAACCAAATATGTGCGTTTATTGTCATGTCGCTGTCTTCTGTGTCTGTGTGCGTATGTGTATGTTTGCGCGTGTGCGTGAGCGTCTGTAGATGTCCGTGTGTATGTGTGTGCGCCCCACGATTATTTCGCATTCAAAACTAACCCAGCATAACTAATCGCATTTCATTCTGAAGCATTCTATCTACTAACATATGAGCTCCCCGTTCTTCAGTGTGTGTGGGCCTCCAAAAATAAATTACTAAAAAATACTAACTTTACTAAAAGAAATAATATAAGCCGAAGTTTTTAGTATCTTCGTTATTATAAACTGTAGGAGCTTTTAAAAAACAATTTTTCAAGTTTTTTGTGCGATTTTTTTTGCTTTCTTATTTTTCTTAGGTGAAAAAAGTTTTCTAAGTAGAGCCTGTGATATAAAATTATGATAATTATTCCTTAAGATCGTATTAACAATCTTTATAGAAAGAGATCGGTTAAAAAGTATAGCATACCTTTTTGCGCAAATTTTTACTCAATTCTTTTTAAAAGGCTTAAACTTGTTATTAAAGACTTTTCATGAAATGTTGGTTTTAGACCCTGAAAGCATACATTAAGCTCAACAATCGCCCACTTTCTCTCCTGCATTCTCTATTTCTCTGAATCATTTGAACTTGAATTGCAATCTAAGTGTTGTGTGTGTTTTTCTGTGTTCATCTTTGTGTCAAAAGACTTGCACCTGTGTACCATATTCTTTCAATTATTATCTCTCTTTCTTTCAAATTACAAAACAGCATTAAGTATTGTAGATAGAAATGCCAAATCCGGCGGATTGGGAGGGTGATGGGTCATCTAAGGCGTCTCCCTCGCGCATGCCGAGCACCTGAATCACAATAAAACACCAGGAGGGAGATCGCCAGCTACGGATTACACTAATAGTATCTAGAGTTTTTGACCCAATCATCCCTCACCACCGCCGGACGGCAGATTAAGCATTTTGCGTAGTGACATATTGATTTATTCTCAAATTCTTGTTCGCATTCATTTCGAGACTTTTGTTATTAGCACATGATCTTCTCTATCTCTCTGTCTCTATCTCTATCTCTATATTACTATCCGTGTATTTATCTTTGTAAACGTAAACTCTCTATCTTTAACCATCGTATTGAGATCACAGTTTTATTTCAATATGCTCCAAGTACTCGTACTCGTATTGAAGTATCCACATCATTTTTGAACGAAACACGTACTCGTAGCGTTTCCGATGAACACTTTGCATTTGGATGTAGCGTTTGTTTTTGAATTGGTTGATAATCTGCATTTGCAATTCAAAAGTTGAATCGAAGTAAACCCCATTATGAACGAATCGAACCGAGCTGCAGCACAGACCGCCCGATGGCTAACACCTCTCTATTATCCTATCGATCTACTTGTGTCTAGGCCGACGAGTCGCAGTTCCGGCACGGGTACACAGAATCAAAACGGCGGCGTTTCACTGCCCGCCGGCATTGCGGACGACCAGTCGAAGGACTTTGATTTCGAGAAGACCGAAATGAAGTACGACTCGACGGGCATGTTCCACTGGAGTCCCGCAAAGAGCTTAGAAGACTGCATACTGGTAGGTCTAAAAAGATACATTTAGTTTCATACAATGTAGATCTAAGTATGGGGTTAAAGCTTTGATATAAGAATTTATAACAGCGTATGTGAGCGTTGAAACGCTAGCAGCGCAGCGGCAGGGAAATTGCCCTGCGCGCTGCCTCTGCTGGCCATTTTGGTTTTATAATGACTATTAAATATTAAAGGTATCAAATTTTTTCTTCACAGGATCGCAACCAGGCGGCCATGACCGTGCTGAATGGCCACGTGGTCGTGTGCCTGTTCGCCGATCCCGATTCGCCGCTGATCGGGCTGCGGAACCTGGTGATGCCGCTGCGGGCGTCCAACTTCCACTACCACGAGCTGAAGCACGTGGTCATCGTCGGATCGGTGGACTACATCCGGCGCGAGTGGAAGATGCTGCAGAACCTGCCCAAGATCTCGGTGCTCAACGGCTCGCCGCTGAGTCGCGCCGATCTGCGGGCTGTGAACGTCAACCTGTGTGATATGTGCTGCATCCTGTCGGCCAAAGTTCCTAGCAACGACGATCCCACGCTGGCCGACAAGGAGGCTATCCTCGCCTCGCTGAACATCAAGGCCATGACCTTTGACGACACGATCGGGGTTCTTAGCCAGCGCGGCCCGGAGTTCGACAACCTGAGCGCCACCGCCGGCAGTCCAATTGTGCTGCAGCGGCGGGGCTCGGTTTATGGGGCCAATGTGCCCATGATAACAGGTAAACTGCATCGCACTAAGTTGGCCGAGTTTGCGAACGAACGAACGAAAGTGAGGCTGGCCAGTTCAGGGGTAGGGAATGGGGGTTTTCTTGGGTTCTAGTACCATCCATGTCCTGGCCAGGCTCACCCGCCTTCTGCCATAAGAAAAAGCGGTCTAAGTGTGTGCTCTACTAATGCTTCACATATGTTGGTTGTCGTTTAAAGAACTGGTCAATGATAGTAACGTGCAGTTTCTCGATCAAGACGACGACGATGATCCAGATACAGAACTATATCTGACGCAGCCTTTCGCCTGCGGCACAGCCTTCGCTGTGAGTGTGTTAGACTCGCTGATGTCCACGGTAAAGTCTCGTTTTAGTCCTTGAATGGGTTTAATTTGTGTAGCCTATTGGGTATTCTGTAATATATTTATTTTGGATTGACCCCCTCTAAACAGACTTACTTCAATCAAAACGCCTTAACGCTGATCCGCTCACTGATAACGGGCGGCGCCACGCCCGAGCTGGAACTGATCCTGGCCGAGGGAGCTGGCCTCCGGGGAGGCTACAGCACCGTGGAGAGTCTGAGCAATCGAGACAGGTTAGTTAATAACCATAAGTAAATAACAACATTAATACATACTATAGATTATGAAATATTATTAAATAAAAAATATATATAAATATATTATGGATCCCCAAATAATGGTATCACTCTCCAACAGATGTCGAGTGGGTCAAATCTCACTGTACGACGGTCCGCTGGCTCAGTTCGGGGAGTGCGGTAAGTACGGGGACCTCTTTGTGGCGGCCCTCAAGTCGTACGGAATGCTGTGCATCGGACTATACCGATTCAGGGACACCAGCTCCAGTTGTGATGCGAGCAGCAAACGTTATGTAATAACCAACCCACCCGATGACTTTTCACTACTGCCAACAGATCAGGTGGGTGCTATTTTATACAATTTAATTTCACTATTAAATCCTGTAAATCCCCCCAAGGTATTCGTTTTAATGCAATTCGATCCGGGCCTGGAGTACAAGCCGCCAGCGGTACGAGCACCTGCCGGCGGACGAGGCACCAACACACAGGGTTCCGGGGTCGGCGGGGGCGGCTCCAACAAGGATGATAACTCTTGATTGTTACTGTGTAGCGCCTTAACTGATGGTCCTTATTCGTACATTTGAACGATGGAGAAGCTAATCGAGGGCAGAGCAACGCATTTGTGGCACCGCACCCACAACTACCTATTGGCATAAGATATTCAGACAGCAAGCGCAACAAATCGGCAGAGAAAAAAGACATATAGCTGTATGTAAAAATTCGATTGTACCGTGTACAAAAAAGTCAAAATCAAAAGTGTTAACTAGAGTTAGAGATACGAACCAATGCGTGCCACCAAATGCGCTGCTCTGCACTTTTATGTGTGCGGAGGCATGCGGCTCGGTGTATTTTGTCCATCCCAACTAACAATCAAGAGACAGCCAGAAAGCCGGAACCAACAACGTCGTCGGCAACGCCGCCTGTCTCCGCACACATAAAGAGCCAATCCGGATCGGGGGACCAAGAACCATAGCCCTGATATCCATCGTTCAACTGCCAACTGATTGCTTCCCACATCATTCCGTATGCCTTTTTAGAACCTTGAAATTATCATATTCTGTATACTTGTACTTATAATTTTAATCTTACCACTACATTGGTTAATCTTGTATCCGTATCCCCTTCTTTATCCATATTATTTTTGTAACCGACTTTGTGCCCCAATAAAATATTATTATTATTTGAGTTTTCAGTTTGTTATTTTGATTGCCCCGAGTTTAGTTGTCCAAGCAACAATCATTAGTTATTCTTATGGGTATGTATTTTGTGTCATTCATTTACATTTACATTTACAATTATATTTAAGAATCGTTTGTCACTAACTTTCATTTACATTTTGAGTTCACTTCATGGCGCTATCATTGCATAAGAAACAATTGAAAATTGAATTCTAAACGAAAATCCATCTTAATGGTGTGACGTAAGCAATTGGGAACCATTAGTGAGGTAAGCTACACATTAAACAAGGAAGCAAGGAAGAGGCTCAGCCGAACACTGAGCGAAAAAAATAGGAAGAACTACAACTAAGTCTACTCGATCTATGTACTCTCATGTCTCAAAATCTTTCTCTAAGCCGCTGAATGCGGCCACAACGCAACAATTTATATTGACCACACGAATAAAACACTGAAAACAGATTTGCGAGATTGCTTTTGGCTGAGATACAGATACTGATAGCGAGATATACAGACACAGATACAGATACAAGGCAATGAGGCTAAAATTCAAAAACTGCATTTAGAAGTTTCTGAGCATGCGCAAAACGATTTATATAGAGCAGAGCATATTGTAATCATTAAACTTTTAAAGTAAACTAAACACAAATATCGAAATAACGATTAACGACACCTAAAGGCCAACAATCTGCTAGCTAATTCGTACACCTAAAGCAAATACATACATGGCTCGACCTGATCTCTTATGAAAGCCAGAGAAAACATGGTTGTTTCGGCCTTAGGATTGCCCAGTCAAGGGCATTTCGAGCCAAGTACTAAACCATATGCAAAGAATTACACTTAACTAGAGGAATCTCAGCTTTTTCACTCGACACAAGTCAAATTTGCTAATTCTAAATTGAACAACTTCTTACATTCACATCTCTACACAACACACACAAAGTCGAGGGGAAATCTCTCGGGTAAACTCGACAAAATATTGTAAGTAGCGCATTCAAATCATTATTCAATACCACTTAATATAGAGGACACCTAGGCCGAAATATAGAGTGCGACGAAAGCTGATGAAACGTAGTTAGTAATATTTTTTAGTGTATGTGAATGTGTGCGCTTTTTACCAGCGATTTACGAGCAGCAACTGTGGTGTTCTAAACAAATTTTGATAGATACAATCGGTAACCAAATGGCGACAAACGTTATATGTATTTCCTTCCGACTTCTGTCTACACAACTTCTTTGCTAACTTCTCTTACCTTTGCTAACTTCACGCACTTGCGCTCGAAAAGCCAAAGTGGAACGCTCTGATTTTTGTACATAGCCTGTAAATATGATAAGCAACTGATACCGATACTAAAGTATCTCGAATACGTTATCGTTTAACTCGTTTATCCTGTGCTGTTTCGTTTTGCCGTTCTAAAAAAGAGTTTTCGGGTCATAATTGTAATTTGTTCAAATGATAAACACTGCCAAAGCGTATAGAAATCACATTAAATGTAGATCAAACCAACCAAAAGCAGACAGCATTCATTCAAAATAGTGGGAAATCCAGAAACCAAAGAAGCGTAACAAGAAAATGGCACAGAACAGCATCCAATGGATTTGTTTGTTTGTTTCCACAAATGATTAGCGAATAACAAATTTAAGTAAAACGAATTCGAGCTTTTAAATTTAATACGAGAAAAAACAAATATAACATAACAATTTATAAGTGAAAGCGAAAATAAAGAAGAGCCAATTACCATTTCGTTTCATATTCTTGATTTGTAGTGGAATTTTGTGTAGCCTAGGCTTACCCAGAACGTAAATTAAAAACAAAATATGTGAATATTATGCGCCTTCGAAATTTATGTAAACATGTGTGTAGCCGTGCAATGTGAGAAACATTTAAACTCCATTAAAGTAAATTAAAGTTAATGGTAAAGGTAACGGTAAAGGTAAATGATAAATGGTAAATGGTAATGGTAAAGTAATCGTAAATAGTCAAGTGTAAATGTTAACGAATCGAGAGCATAGCATAGCTTAGCATAAACATAAGACGACTAGATATCGCGACAAGCAGTTCATATATTGTTAATGATAAACTTATTATTAAATCGACAACAAAACGCATTTGCAATCCTAAAATAATATGAGAACGATGATTAGGCGGTGGCGTAGCGAAAACCCAAAAGTTAAACATAATTTTTAAATGAATAAACTAGTTATTAAATTTATAGAAACGTCACTTATACACCCACACCACACTAATATTCACACAGACACACACACTCACACTCGACAGCGATGAATCCAACAAAAAGAACAAAAATGAACTCTCGATGTTGTGAAACTTGATAAAATCATGTTTACGCTATAGCAGATCTACATAAATGAAATAAAAAGGAACGCAAGCAAAGTACATATTCAAACCGAAAAAAACCAGAAACGAAGCTTCTTTGAAACAAACTAAAGAAAAGAAAATTTATCGAAAAATATAGAAGTGAAAACACGCTGACAAAGCTGCCTTTCCCATTTGCATTTCCAATTCGTAATTGATAATAACTTCGAGTATTTTTCCACTTCGCTCAATTTAAGACTTCCGAGCAGCTTTGTTCACAGAAGATAATATATACATATATTAATAATGTCGCATAAAACTACTCAATGCCGTATAAACTAGTGTAAGTGCAAAGGTTTTTGTAGAAAATTCGTCAATAAAAGTCACAAAAAAATATAAAATATATTATCATACTCGTAAATGTGAAGCTATGCAGCATTTTACTGTAGTTAGATTTTTTGTATAGAATCAACGTTCGCAGCTAAAAACCAAAACGAAAACCGAAACTAATATGATAATTTTACAGGTTTAAGGCGGAAATGTTCATTTTTTTAAGGAATAAAGATATTAACAAATATCATAATTAACATAACAAATAGCAACTAAAACCAAACAAAAAACGAAAAAATATTTTTTATAATTTCGCAGCACTTTCACATGATACCCGCACACGCACATATACACATCCGGCAATGTGTGCTAAATAAATTGTATAAATAATGCAAACCCAAAAAATGCAAATCATATTAATGTAGTTACATTTTTTTAGTTTTTACTCGCTATTTATATGAGGTATATTTACACAACGGAAAACGTAAGCGTAGACATAAATAAAACGTAAAAAGCGATAAAAATCATTAATTTATATTAAAATAAAATTAATTAAAACCGAAATCAGAGCAGAAGGCATAAAATGACAAATTAGTTTAGTTTAAAGCGGCCTCAAAAAGGCGAAAATAACAACAAATAAATAAAATTTTAAATAACAAATTAAAAGCTAAAAATGCATATTTTAAACATTTGTCTAAAACGCAACCGAAAAAAAAACAAATGATAAATGTATGAAATAAAAGGTATAATAATAATATTATGTTGTTAATGTTTAAAAAACCTTGTTAAAAATAATATTTCAAAATAAAATATAAATACAGAAAAAAATAGCAAAGAAATTTCCACCAAAAAAATAATTGGCAGCTTTATGAAAGTGAAATTTTGATTTATGGCCCGAAATTTTGGGCCGACCAATACTGACCCACAAAAGGCAGTCCGAGCGCAATAAAATTCCAATGACCAATTGCGTTTAGAAATTGGGTGTCGCGCCCTGCATAAAATGCCACCAATTATTGTAAACTGGGGAGCGTTTCATAAGCACGGCTCATTATCATCGAAGGGCCTTGGTTGTATGGAAACAAGTGGCGAGCAATCACAAATTGGGCCTACTCTTGGGACGCTATTGGTTATGGAAAGGGCATCCATTTGTTTTTAGGACACATCCGAACAGGCCCCGATTACCATTAAATAACGTTTAAAAATCATTTCAAGTTTATCCACGAAATATTTATTCAATTGTGCCTTTCCTGTTGCTTTCATATTACAAACTTAGCCTGACTGTAATTGTTTGCTAAGAAAAGTAGATAAAATGTAAAGGTTTTAGCTTTAGACCTTATCTCATCTACATACAAATTAGGATTTTTAATTATGACTGATGGTTATTAATGGGTATTTAAAATATTATATCTTATAATAGAGAAAAATCCTAACCTCTTATATTCTTCGATTTTTTCCTCCTTTTTTCGGAAGAAGTCACTTGACTAAGTCCGATATTCCCACTGTGCCTGCCGCATTTCGTAATGTCAATCGGTGGCTTTGCTCCTGTTTGCTGCCTCTGCCGCTGGTCAGAGCAAAAAAAAACAAAAAGAGAGGAGTAACAGGTGGCAGGCAGCGGCATTGGGGTTATCTCTTGATCATGTGCGCCTGGTCCGCATTGCTTTTTAAGGTAAAGAGCGACTGCTGACGCGAGACAACAAGTTCGCTGCCTAAGTCTTTTGTTTTGCGCTGCCTGTTTCTTTTTCGTTTTGGTTTTCTTTCCTTTCTTTCTGTTGCCGGCCAAGAACAGTCGATGGCAAAACACTTTCGTTGCGATTAATCGGCCACTTGCTGGCAATTCATGTTGCTGCTGGTCGCGTGCTGCGTTTCGGCCTTTGCAAACTAGTTTTTCCCTCGGCGCCGCCAAGGCAGAGTCATGAAAATCCGACCACTTTCTTCAGTGCGCACTGCTCGCTGCGCACTTCCAATGCGAGCCGTCGTCTTCGCATTCCAGTGGAACTCCAATGGAGCCAACGGATCGGATCGGATCGGATCGGCACATGGTTTTTGTCCGCTACCATCGACCAACTAGCACTCAGTTGTCTTCGCGACTTGAACAGGTGCGGACGTCGCTGCTCCCGAATTTTATTTTGAAACTCTTTCGAAATCTTCTGTGCGTGCCGTTTGAAACCGAAGAAAGCGCCGCGGCGCTCGCTGACATGAAGTTAATTGATGTGATTATATACCTAATTGCCATTTTGATCTTCATCTACTTGCTGCTGGAGTAGCAGAAGAAGCCAAAAGTCGCTCGACATTTGCCCCAGAGCTTTCTACAGGCAAAGCAGCCAACTGCCGCCAATAAAACAACGAAACTCAATTCAAATCCGAAACAAGATGAGGGTAAGTGAATCACATCACGCGGCGACTGCCAGTTTGTTGCCCACAATTAGCGGTTATTAAAGAGTCTCTCGCTGCGCGCACAGCATAAGAAATAATAGATTGGCATTAATTTCAATGCCAATACAATGGCATTTCTTTGCTCTGCGATCAACGACTTCAGGTGCAGATTCAGATTCACCATCACCTGCAAATCCAATTACATTCTCCGGCACAATGCCGCTGCAGCTTCTTCAATTGAATTGCCGTCGCAGTTGCCAAGTCGTCGTGAATATTTGACAAATTGTAATGTGGCCGGCAAAGCGAGCACTTTCATTTGCAATGAGAGCACTTGATGCGCCGAGTTTCGCCGAGATCCAAGATCCAAGATCCAGACAATGGATGGCTTCAGCTTTACGTGCACCAATTACACTGGCTGCTCGCCTGCATTTGCCTCAATGTGCAGCGGGCTTGAAAATAAAATGCTTGCCGCTAAAATAAAAGTTGCATTTCGAGTTGCAATTTGGGTTAACCACACCGTTGTTTATGGTCGACGCCGCGGCGACAGGCCGCTGATCAATAGTTCCGCCTAGGCCGTTGGGAAAATCCTTTGTCAAGTTCAATGGTCTCGCTGGCCAAGCCCAGAGGAAACCCGAAATTATGCGAATTCCATTTGGACTTTCGTTGAACGAGTTGCCGAGCTGCCGTGGGCCAATCCCTGCCAGACTCGGGCATCCGTCTCCTGGCAGTTCATTCACCACCGGTATTTGCATACGATTATGCATATTGTAAAGGCGACAAACTAACTAACCACTCTATAAACAATAAGCCACCAATTTGGCGTCAATTATTGTGGCTCCCCGCCGTTGCAGTTGCAGTTGCAATCGGCCATCGGCAATCCGTCAGTCCGTTTAAGCAAACGCAGCACGTAATCAATAAGTATACGTATTGGACTCGCTTAGGCATTTCACCTGCTGATTGACGTCTGGCTAACGGCACACCGCATTGCCATTGTCATTGCCACCGCCTCGGTGGAAGTGGAGTGGGGTGAAGAGGAGTGGAGCTGCCCAGGTGAAATTGCCATGTCCAGTTGCTGCCTCAAATTACCCACTTCCCATTCGATCGACCAAGACCCACAGCCAAACCATCCAAGCAGAGAGTTGCGTACTCCTACTTTAGGGAAATATTTTGTACAGTTGAATTTGGATTATTCTTAATCAGGTCTTTACAATTGTAATACATTTTTATGCAAATATGAAATTTAGTAATTTCTCAATTCTAACCAAGTCATTAACATTACTAGACTTTAGTTTAAAATTTAATTTTTAATTAATTGATTTTATTATTTGTACAAAAAAATATTTATTTGCACAGTTATTAATGTGAAGAAATTTATTTTTAACTCAAAATGTAGATTTTATTTAATACAATAAAGTATTTATTTACTTAGTTATTAGATGGATATCTATTTTAAAGATCTATCGATAAACAAATGTTATTAAAAGTCGCGTCTGAGAAATAACTAAGATAAGAAAAAATTGTAAAACTGACGACTTTGTTTTAAAATTTAATTTTTAATTTATTGAACTTTATTTTTTACATAAAAAGTAATTATTTACTTAGTTATTTAGTAAAGAAATATATTTTAAAGATCTAACGATAAACAAATCTCATTGAAAGTCGCACAAACTGAGTCAGCCAAGCACAATACCCTCTGAAAACGTAAACAACGCAACGAGAGTAACAATTACAGAACGAAGACATTTCGATATTCGACTTTTCACTTTCATTCTACGGCATTGCGGACTGAAAGTTTAATCAGCCATCGAAGCGGGGAAAAGTGGGCAAGGTATTATGGCATACCGTATAAATATACTCGTATATAATTATAAATACGTACTCGCACAAGTGAAGATACTTTGCTGGCTCGTTTGCTTAAGCAGCTTTGGTTAAGTAGTCAGCGGCAGGCGACGTGATAAAATTTTAGAAAACCGCCAATTTGTTCAAATTAAGGCCATTACAGTTTTGTTGCTGTCCAGCGATTACAAGACCCTCCCCTTTACCCCTTTTCTCCATTCCTCCCCCCCTTTCACCTTCGCCTCTGCCGGGCTTAGAAAGTTTTCATTTCTTTCGACGTTTTGTTCGATGTACGCGTAATTAAGTTTTTGACAATGTTCCCTCTTCCTCCGCCACAGCCTTTCCTCCTGCTGGCCCTGATCTTGGCGCTGGCCCACTGCGAGCAGCGTCCCCTGGTCTTCACCAACTGGCCGCCCAAGAGCGCCAAGCAGCTAAGTCGTCCTGCTGCCGTTGGATCCGCAGGAGCAGCTGGTCCGCCTGGTAAACAGCGCACCCTGGTTGTCCAAATTCGCAGCGATCAGCCGGTTCCCTTGGTTCTGAAGGGTCGTCCTGGTCATGGCCCTCATGCCCATTCGCATGCCCACACCCATGCCGCCCACCTGGCCCATCCGCACTCCGTGCATCCGCATGTCCTGACCGCCCACCCTCACTCACATGCCCATTTGCACTCGCATCCTTTGATCCACGTGCCCCAGCATCAGTATCAACACCTGCGCGGACCTCCGCGTCCCATGAAGCTGAGTGGTCCCTCCCCAGTTTACCTGAAACCCGCTGGAGCCCTAAGGAAACCCCTGAAGATCAAGCTGAACAATGTTAAGCCCAAGGCGAAACCCACTTTCGGATACGACAAGCCCTTCAAGTACGAGAAACCCTCGGCTGTGAGCTACAGCGAACTCCAGAATCTGCCGGTAAGTTAAGAGATTTTCTCTAATTAAAATTGTTTAAATATAATTGGTTTAGCCATTTAAAACTTATATCGTAATTTAGAAAAATTTCTTTAAACCAAATGAAGTTAATTCAAAGCCATTGAGATCCCCTCCCATTATTATGATAATTTTCTAATCCCAATGGCTTTGAGTTCTGAATTTTATACCCACCCAAGACACACTCAAAAACATATAACAACACTCCAAACATGCCCATCCCCCACAGCTGGACACGCACAACAACTTCAACACCGAGCACTTTGCACCCATTTACACGGTTCCCGCACCGAACCTGGCCGACAACCACCTGGACGTGGAGGAGGGTCACCTCGACTCCTCCTACCTGTACACGCCCCCCTCCCACTCCCCCTCGGCCCGTCCCCAGACATACTTGCCGCCGAAGTACAGTGTGCATGAGGACGAGACGAATGACCAAACCATCCGCGATCCCATTTCGGGCTCGCAGAAACTCTTTGCCCCAGATCCGGATCCCTCGCTGCCCACCACCAAGATTCGTCCGTCCACCGAGTCGTTTAATACGCCGAGCAACAACAAGCCGCTGCCCGCCGATGTCCAGAGCAATCATCTGCCCGCCCAGCCGCTGGTCCAGATCGTTGGAGCCCAGGCGGCGGCACAGACGGCGCCGGAGATCTATCCCATTCAGTATGCGCAGCCTGTCCAGCCGGTTGTCCAGCAGTCGCATCAGTCCTTCATCGCCGCCATTCCCGCTGCCCACATCCCCATCTACAATCCCACCTATCTGGTGACGCAGTCCAATCAGCTCTACTCCGCGCACAAGCAGCAACTCTTCAAGCCCAGCGCGGAACCGGTGGTGGAATCGGGCTACGTGAACGCCGATCTCACCCAGGAGGTGGCCAGCAACGGACAGATCCTGCAGGCGGCCAAGGACCCCCATCACAACATCCATCCCGTGCTGGATTCGGCGCCGCAATACGCCGCTCTGATTGCCGCCCCTGCCTTGGGTGATCATGGCGAGAGTGCCTACGAGACGGCCTCCTTCCACCTGCCCAATGTGGCCTCGGCGGTCACGGCCTCCGTTCCCGAGGGCGGCTTCGTAGTGTCCAATTTCTATGGCCACGCCCACGACTCGTCGCAGTTGCTGCAGGCCTACGCCGAGGAGGAGGCACGCCGCCAGCAACTGGAAACAGAACATGCCGCCATCGAGCTGCAGAAGCAGCAACAGTTGCATCTCGAGGAGTTGAAGGTGCAGGCCCAGGAGCAACAGCAGCAGCATCAATTGCATCTGGAGGAGCTGAGGGCCCAGGCGCAGTACCAGCAGCAGCAACAGCAGCAATTCGAGCAGTTGCAGGCCCAGGCACAGGAGCAACATCTGCAGCAGCAACACCAGCAGCAACAGTTGCAGCTCCTGCAACTGCAGCAGCAACAGCAGCAGTTGCAGCAGCCGGTGCAACACCATCCGCAGCAGCAACAGCAACAGGTGGCTCAGGATCCGGCAGCCACAGCCTTCGAGGAGCATCAGCGCCTGGTGCAGCAGCAATTGGGCTCCAACACGCCACTTCGCATCTTTGTGCCCGACGAGGAGACCTCCGAATCGGTAAGTTAGATTAAAAGTACTAAATATTTGTTATTTCTAACTTTAATTTCACAGCGGCTGCAAAAGCGGTCGGATGACCTGAAGAAGGGCACCGTGGAGGATGTGCCCAGCGCGGGTCTGATCGAGAGCGACAGCGAGGAGTCAGCCAAAGATTTGTTCGAGGTCTCCACCTCCGTCGAAGTGGCCGGCGAGCATCTCACGGCCAGCAGTAATTAGTTAAGGCACATTTAGTCTTCGACGCTGTTCAAAAATATTTATTTACACACTCATTTGTAAAAACGCATTCATGTAGCGAGCAGTCGGTAGTTTAATAAAAATAACCATTAATTTATTCAAATATAGGGGAGGCGTTTTGTTTGAATAATGGCGCGTAAAGTAATCGTTCCAATCGATATATCGATAGTTTGTTTTCTTTTTTCAAGCAGTTTCCCACTTTTTCGATGTTTACAAGCAGTTTAATTATCGTATATCGATTAACGATAGACAAAACAACGAGAAAAACACATTTTTAGCAAACATTTTGTTGTGGTTAAAATTTCAGTTATTCCCCTAAGAATTAAAGCCTGCGAGACAAGATGATTATTCCAATCCGTTGTTTTACCTGCGGCAAGGTCATTGGCAACAAGTGGGAGTCGTACTTGGGCCTGCTCCAGGCGGAATACACGGAAGGGTAGGTCACGCGGGAAAAGGTCTTCTATCCACACCGCATTTTACCATTACTATATCTCCTTTTTACAGAGATGCCCTCGATGCCTTGGGTCTGAAGAGGTACTGCTGCCGTCGCATGCTCCTGGGACACGTGGATCTCATCGAGAAACTGCTCAACTACGCACCGCTGGAGAAGTAATCCGAATAATGGCACATCCACATTGGACTTGGGAATAAAAACTCTAGATTTTATTGTAAAATTACAAATTAAAGCTTGACGAATAGCCCTAGAAGTTGTATATTAGCCCAAGTTGCTCGCCTCACATCTTGTCCATGAACCAGGGCTGTCCGTTGTTCTCGCGCCGCTTGGTGAGGATCTCGCAGCCGGTCTCGTTGACCAGGAGCGTCTGCTCGAACTGGGCGGAGAACAGACCGTCGGCGGTGACCGCGGTCCAGTCATCTGGCCAGGTCTCGGCCTTCTGGACGCCAATGGAGATCATGGGCTCGATGGTGAAGCAGTGGCCCGGTGCCATCACGCCCACAGCGGAGTTTTCTAAAGGGAAACGGGTTCAGTAATACAAGTAATATAATATAAGTACCCCCCAAACTTACTGGCATAGTGCGGCACATTTGGCGCCGTGTGGAACACCCGGTGAATGCCGTGACCACAATAGCTGCGCACCACACTGAATCCATGGGGGGCCACATACTTCTGGATGACGTTTCCAATGTCGCGATACTTCTCCCCGGGACGCACAAACTCAATGGCCTTGCTGAGCGCCTCGTGGGTGACCTGCACCAGCTTCTTGTGCTTCTCGGAGACATTGCCCACGAAGAAGGTCTCGTTGAGATCGCCGTGAAAGCCGCGATGGTAGACGGTAACGTCGATATTGCAGAGATCCCCATCCTGCAGGGGTCGCTGGTCGGGGATCCCATGGCAGATCACCTCGTTGACCGAGGTGCAGCAGGACTTGGGGAAGTTGTAGTAGTTGAGGGGCGAGGGATAGCACTCCCGCTCGATGGCTGCCTCGTGGACGAGGCGATCCAGTTCGTCGGTGGTGGTGCCCACCTCCACGCCCTTGGCGCCCTCATCCAGGCACTCCCTTCCCAGTCTGCCGGCCACTCGCATGCCCTCGATCTCCTCGTCGTCCAGCACCTTGATCTTGGTGCCCCGGAGGGCCTCCTCCGAGAGGGAACGTCCTGCGGGATGATCGGCATAGTCCGGACGCATTATGGCCTCCGGAACGGAGCGCTTGGCAGTCTGGGGGAACGGACGCAGTTTGCCGGTGAAGCGGAACTGCGGCCACGGGTTGTAGGCTCCATCCTGGCCCGAGGAGTTCGAGGCACCGGCTGGGGTAAAAATTTTCCACATGTCAGTAAACCAACTCATTTCGAATGGAAATGGAGATGGAAACTTTCCAATACTGACCTGCCAAAGCATGGATCGACTTGTGCTCCTTCCAGAATCCTTTGAAGCAGGGCTGCGAGCAGAAGAAGGAGCCCTTGATGCCCAGCTTCAGGCAGGTGGGGCACTGCAGGGTCGCCTCCTTGCCGCAATTGGTGGTCTCGCACTTTTGGGTCATTTTATTTTAATTTATTAAATAAAAATGAAAATTTTCTCGCCAAAAATAGTCCAACAGGGCTGCCAGACTTTGACAGAGATTTCTCCCTAAAAAATCCTAGCTATTGCGCCAGTGTTGTTAAGCGCCAATTGTAACGGTTTTTGAATTTAAAATCCAGATTAACTGATAAGAGTTTATTTGGGTGTTTTAAAAACGCAAATAAAGTAAGATCTATTCAGTTAATGCATTTAAAATGTATATAATTGTAGCATTTGGGTTCTTAATTTTAAAATTAATTTGGGTCAATTAGGTTACTTCTTGTTGCTAGGTAAAAAGCATACCATTTTTAGAACAACACAAAATTTAATTCGGTTTAATCGGCTTGTCACAATTTATTAAAATGAAAAATTCAATAAAAATTATAAAATCTCAAAATGGTCCAAAGATCTTTGATCTCGCTAAGGACACTGGCCCCCGCAAAGTCTTCGCCTTTGTTTTTGCTCGTTTGCTCGTCGGCAGTTCAAACGCCGCCGCCTGTTGGGCACTTTTCCGCTGTTGTTCTCGGCGCATGCTCTCGGTGGAACCAGTTCGACTCCCACCATCCGAGTGCTCTGTTTATGTTCTCAAATCGCGAGCAACATCGGTTGTGAACGGACGTGCTTTCGCAGTGGAAACGTGAACGGTACCGCGAAACAAAAGAATATTGGCAACAAACTTGTTTGAATCAAATGGCCAAACGCAAATACCCGCGAAGGGCAGAAGGATAAATTTAACGGTCAGTGAAGTGTGAGTTTTTTTTTTTTGGGTCGGTTTGGTAAACCCAGACTTTGATTTCTACCTGCAAGGGATGCTGCTCTGCACAGGAGCCACTTATATACAGAGTATCGGACTATTCAACAAGTGAATCAAGGGTTTTGGCGGCGCTAATCAGTAGTTTTGTGCTCGTGATCTTCGCACTCGATTGAGTTTCGATTACGATGTGTGTGCATTTGAGGCCTTATCAGTGTCTGCCGTGATCTTTGGGTTTGCGTTAATATTATTATTCATTTCTCTGGTTTCCCTCGGCCAACGACGACGACGACAATAAGTAAACACGCTGTTTTTGTTGAGGTTGCTGCTGCCGCTGCTGCTGCTGTCATCTCACATGTTGCTGGTGTTGCTGCTGCTGCCGCGGATGTTGCTGCCGTTTCCATTGCTGTTGCTGATAGAAGCGCAGCGTTCAATGGCTATAAATAAAAAACGGCACGCGGTGTGTGCACCAGTGACAATCCGAATCCGAATCCGAATCCCAATCCCCATTTCCCACCACCAGCATCGCTCGATTTTGTGGGTGTTCTGCGTCTTACGCTCACGCTATTATCTCCGCCGTGTGGTTTCCACTTTTCCGCTTTTCATCCCCTCGAATCGCGGCGCAGATCCCGTCAATTGGCAATCTAAAGGCCGCCGGCACAATTAAAATAGAATCTCTTCTGATTTCGCTTTGTTTTTTGCTGCTTTCTGTTATTTCACTCGCAATACGGAACAATCGCGAGTCAAGGTGGCCACGAAAAGCCGCGAAATAGAAGGGAATTCCTCCCCGGCGGTGGTGGTGGTGGTGGCAACGAACTCGGTCTCGCGATCTCGACCCAACTCATCTTGTCTCGCCTTTTGTTTATTTAATGTTTTCCCCATCGTTGGTTGCCTTCAGCAGCCTCCTTCTCTACTTCTGCTTTGTTTTTGGCCCTGACCAGCGATCCTCGACGTTCGACAGCAATTAAAGGTAAGCCAAAAGGGTCCAGAAAGGCAGGCATTAGCCTTAATTGGCTTTGGTTCTTTGCTTCTTGTTCGGCTGCTTTGCCACAGAACTTTTTCATATGCTGCGCATTTCGTTTGTCTGCCTGCTGAATGGATGATGATGGAAATTTATGCGTAGAGAAAGGCGGCAAAATGAAATGGAAAATATGGAATTTTTTCTAGGTGGAGAGTGGGGTATTTACCCGTAACACTTCCGTTGCCCAGAATATCAACTTCCGGCGGCGGACAATTGTCAGCTGGGGAAGCTTTGGCACAAAAGACGCATATTGATATTGTTGCCCAGGTTGCTTACGCTCCAATAAGCACACCCACACATAGAGAGACGGGTCCTTCGTCCTTCGTCCTTGGGAGCCAGCAGAAAACGCATTTCATTTTTACTCCACTGAGTTGGCCCTTGTCTGGCAAACGTTTTGTGGCAACTTGGCCATTAAGCATTTCGTGTTTAAGCAGCAGCAGCAGGATCCTTGCCTCGCAGGACGAAACGGGGAGGCAGGACAGCTAGGAATAAAAATTGCCCGCGTATGCATTTCTTAACAACATTTCTCGTCCTGGACACTCTCCCCGGCTCCCCAGCGACAACATTTCATTTCATATTTTGTGGCAGCAGCGCTTTGAATAGAATTCATTTGGATTCCCTTTCCCAGGACGCCTCTTCAGTCCCTTATTTCCCCATCTCATCCCTGGAACACGCACTTCAGTCTGATAGCGCGTGCTTAACAAATTTCTGCTGTATTTTTCGGTTCCTTTTCCCCCGACTTTTTTGCCATGGCAATGGGGAATTTTTTCGCATTTTTTGCTGTCGCAGCAGGGTAAAAATTAAAAGCGAATTAAGTTCGAGGAGTGGGTATACCCATAGCCGTAGCTCGAAGGTGGACAGCCGAAGATAACTGCACTTGACGTCGGATAGACCACAGGCATTATTAAACCCTAAATTTACCTGTCGACCAGGCAGGGTGGCGAATCTGCCGACAAGATTTGAGTTATTTTATGGATATTAGAAGGTGTCCTGTATCTGCTTTACCAAACCATGAATTGGGGACTTTTTGGTCCCAAGTGCAGAGAAAAAAAAGGTTGAAGGGGGTTAAATATTTGTTATTCATTGTTTTAAAATTAGTCATTTAGTTTTGGTCAAATAGTTCGTTATCTTTCAAGAAAACTAGTAATTTCATCATTATATTTTTCGGAATGAAATTTATATTTTAAATTTCTTAAGAATTAGTTTTGGTGAAATTGTTAATCATCTTTCAAGAAAACTAGTTATTCCATTGTTATATTTTTCGGAATGAAATTAATATATTTTTGCTGTTAATAAATATTATACTGCAAAGACAGCGATTTCGTATAGAAATTTTTCCAGTGCCTATCCTGTGGCTTTACAAATATTTTTTCGTATGTAGGCACAACAGCTGACACCATCCTGCTAACAAGCAGCAGTCGCATCCACATCCACATCCACTTCCACTTCCTCCGGGTCCTCGAAGGCAGCACCCTCCTATAGAAAGTGTCACCCCGGCAGCATCGCAAACTCCACGAGTTATTTCTTCTGTATTTTTACTTCATCTTTTGCCACGCCAGTTCTTTTCTTCCCCGACCACTTGGTGTTCTCCCAATTTTGGTTGCTATAAAGCAAAGTTAATGATATGTCGCAAGTGCTTGTTTGTCTGCCAGTGAGTGTGGGTGTGGGTGAGTGGCTCCACTTCCACTTGGCTGAGTCCTGTCATTCCTGCGGCCCCACTTCTCCTCCTTCCTCTTCCCATTCCATGTGTAATTAATTAAAGTCTAAGCAGATTTTATATTTCACTTACTCTCCACGGACCCAGACTAATTTATGTGTGCGTCTACTTTTTGTCATATTTCTTCATGTAATTATTATCCCGACTGTGCTTTGTCTGCAAGATAACTTAATTGGGCGTTTTGGTTCGTGATTCCCCAAGTAT